TTGAAAATATTTATCTATTGTAGTGTTTGAACTTAAATAATTCCATGGCACTCATCAAATACTAATTTTTTTCTATAAGAAATATTATGTACCATATACCATCAATTAATCTGTTTAGAGAAAAAAATTAGGTTTCATTTTCATTAGCACTGACAATCATTTATTATGCTCTCATATTGTAATGATATAAAACATACGTGATGTAAGACGTCTTTACTTTTGGAAAGCTCCATAATTCCGCCCCTGCTCGTGATATATTCGATTCAATTCTTTAAAAAAAAACCATAAAATACCATATGAAATTTCAGTTTTTAATATTTAATCATTTATATAATAATCCTGAATGGAAATTTTTTTTTTAATAATGAGGTGAAAAAGTTTATTTATTAATTGTTGAACAGTCACGAACCACTCAATGTGCATATCAGCAGAAAAGAAAAATAAAAAAAATGATATTTTTTGTAAAAACTACAAAAAAAACACTGATTCACTTATAAAAAGAATATATTTATTGTTTCATCGACTTTAACTAATCATTCAAGGTCTTCATGTGCTCATTATTCTAAAAGAAATTACAATAACAATTTATACTCGTTGCCGAAAGACAAGAAAAAACTTACTCACTGTATAAAACATATTATATTTTGATACATAAGTGATGTTTCTTACTAGAAAATTATAAAAATATTGTTTCGATCTCACCTAGATTTTAAACTCTTCTAACATATCTCTGTCATCTACATATCAGTTGATTCAAAGTTCATATTGTGCGTTTATTAGATTTCACGCGAGAGACGTTCAGAAATCGAATAAGAGAATGAGACAAAAAAGTAATAAGCCTTCGTCTCATCTTTCTCTCTTTCTGATCACACATGAATAACTTCTTATTTTAATTGTGCATCGTCTTGAAGGTCTCTCATTCATCAGCTACCTTTTATGATATTACTTTCTATTGGTCGTTACTATTTACATTTTCGTTAATAGTCACACGTCAATACATTCGTCTTCCTATCCTCTTTGAGACCATGAATAAGAGACGTCGTTTTTTATTTGTACAGAATAAAAAATACCTCACAGTTTAATATATGTGATAGATGCATTGTCCTTGATTATATGGTTCTTTGCTATCATTGAAAGTCACATGTGATTGAAAAAAAAAGACGAAAAAGCCTATCGAACGGCAAATAGCGCTCGAAGCTTCGGTGAACAAACAACAATCATTATGAATGTATGTACATCACCTTGCATTGATTAGTAGCGATACGTACGTATTCCTACGAGAAAAAATCTCTCTGTAGGAGTAAGAAAAAATGAATCTCTCTCTGAAAAAAATTACCGTCTCTCTCTTCGAGAAGACACCACAAGATGTGTCCTTCTTTGTCAGTAAATACAAACCAATCTCTCTTACCATCCATGAAAATAAAAACCTTGTTTTGCAACCTTCTATGTGCTAAGCTGTCAGCGAATATATAAAGCCGAAGCACATCTGTACCATTTCAATAGTTATTTACGTACATCTACCACTTTCTTCTCAAACGCTGAAAAGCAACCCACAACGAAAGAGCAGATTATTTCGGCAAGCTCTATGGCTATTCTTATGCCGTTGTTGGCAACAATTTATATGATGAAAGTAGCTACGGTTGACAATACAGATTTTAGACGCTTATACGTCAAACAATGAACAAAGCTATGGTTTATTTATTAACCTTAAACTTGTAGCACTCAGGACCAATCATATATTCAACTCAAACTCTTTCGTTCGAGCTCTAACAAAAATTCCAATTGTTTCTTAATATGAACTATTCCGTGATCAAATATTCGTCAATGATATAATGAACCTCGAATCATTGCTAAAAGTTCAAGAAAATATTTAAATAGATGTTTGGTATGAATTATTCATTCATTCAGTATTCTTCGAGGATATAATCCTCCGCAAAACATTGCTTCGAATTCAAGTAAACATCTAAGTAGCTGTTTCCTATGAATTATTTCTCCATCTTATGTTCATCGATGATGTGATCGACTCTAAATCATTAGTGTTAATAGAAGAAAGTATTTGAATGGTGCTTTTCTATGAATTGGTCTTTTACCAAGTAATCGGGGATGATGTAATCAACTTCGAATCTTTGCTGCAAATTTAGGGAAATACTTAAGGGTGTGGGTATGGGTGATAGTGTAGTGTGGTTGTCAATTCGCAACCTTTTCAAATACAAGCAACATCACCCTGACGTTGGGTTTATCTACGGAAACAACAATTGTCATTGTTTTCTCAAGATACAATACATTTGGCTACTGAATGGCGTAACCATTTATTATTATCAACAGCTAAGTTATGTCTTAGAAAACAATTTATATCGATTATTCATATACACGATAATAATGATAATGGAACATATACCAAATTTGATTATAGTTGAACAAAATCCGACATTATCTGTAAGCATCTCTTAAACTTTAGCTGTTGCTTTGCATTAACATATAATGATCTATATAAAACTTGAATGATACCATTAAAACTCGAGGAACTTTGCTCTACGGTTAGATATTAAAATGATTATGATGGTCTGTATTGAAAAAACAATTACTGCTGAGCGTAATTTAGTGTGTTAATAATATTTATTATTTGAGAACGGAAATGTTTTCATTCAAGAAATGCTACATTTCGTAAAATTGAATTTTATGACTCTGATCTGTTTGGTGTATGGTTTTTCTATGTCAACTATGGTTCACACGGATCGAATTCAAAACAATTAATGTAATGTAAACAACACAAAACAATAACAGGAGATATATTTTTAGAAACCAGCATATATGTCGGTCAAACTGTAAACAAATAATTTAAAACAAGTGATCACTGATGCATAATATGAAGCAATCGATATAGGTATTGGCTTAGAAATGTCGAATTTATTGCAAAAATAAAATGTTCTTAGTTTAAAGCCATTTAATGAATATGTATTTGGACAATTAAATACAAATTCAAAGATGTACAACTACTCATCTCCAATGGCCAATTTAGACGATAAAGACTTTGAAATAGCTGCGGATGATGATGGCAAAACAACAAAGAATTTCAACAATGCTACTGCTGATAATAATAATAGTCTTTCCTTGAAGGATGATCACATGAATAAAGACGAACAAGATGCTACTCCAAAGTTCATCACCATCACAAGAAAAAAGACTTTTTTGGAGTATAAGCGTGCAATAAATTGAAACATCACATGTAACAGCCTTATTTTTGAAGTTTCAGTAAAGCATGATACAAAATATTTATGGAAATAGTCTACCTGCTAGCCATTAACAGGCGAACAAAGTAAACTTTCAAATGTCAGATTACCTTGAATAATACAGACCCATGAACAAGAATAAATATCTTTTTCTTTATGTAATACATTTTTGCTTGTCTTTTTCAATAAGCGGTATTTTGTTTTATTTAAAGTTGTAGAATTAGTAAGTTTATCTCACGCAGATGATAGAAAAATAGCTTATGTTCGCTTCAAAGCTAAAGTTAATATCTATGCCATTTGATATCATTATTGATGGAAAAAATAAATATACAATAGACTTTAATTTTTAGGATAAACTTTTATAGAATTACGAAGGATTTCATGAGACTTCAAAGGACTCCAACGGATTGGAGCCTGCCAATTCTTTCTCAGTGAAAATTTTCGATAGATAACTATTGATCGACTACTGTTTTGTGAAGTTCTAATGTGATGGACTTCATTAAACTAGTTTTCATGAAACAAGTAGCATAATTGCTTTGTCACAACTTTAATTTGAATGATCTTAATCTATCCAGTGATTGATTGATAACCATCCAACTTTCGAGTACACCGACTGTTTCATATAATTATCATAGAACCATGATCTAGCACTACCGATAAAGTCCAATAAAAGGTGAAATCGGTTTTGTTCAAGTCTCGTCAGTAGATAACAGCTCAATTAAAGATGAAACTGCTTTCAGTGGTCAATGCGTCAAGAGTGTGTTTGTTGAACACAACATTATATACTGATGTAAACATATGAGAAAGATTGAAATGCTGATGAAAATAGGCTCATAGCATCTTCTATTAATATGTATATGCAATAAAAATTATCGTATATTTTTCCTGAAACAACACTATTAACTTCTTTGAATTGTAGTGCTTGGGGACAAATCTGAATGGACTGCACGTTCAAACATGAAATTTTGTTGTTCATATAATAGAAATAAATTCATGATTATAACATCTAAAAATATTAAGTGTTCTTGCAACCGCGTTAAAAGAGTAACGACTTTTCTTATAAGTTGAATCCATTTTCTAATTAAGTACAATTATATATCATATATGCTCATCTGCAAAACCAACATAGATGAGCGGACTTTGTCTTGCATAGTATTAAGAAAATGACAAAAGACAACGATGGATAAGATCTAAAAGCCTGAAATGTCGTAGATGATTTGGAACGGATAGGAGGGCCATTAGAGAAACGTACATTCCACATTTAGCACTCTTGAAAGAACTAGATTAGCAAATCTTAACAATAACCTATGGATGACTTGAGTTTGATTATGCGTTGAGGAGATCATTTAAGTGCAAATGAAATAAGTAAAGGTTTTAGCCGATGAAGCAAGTAAAAATTTTAATGAATAATTTGAAAATCGTAGTGTACTGTTTATGCTTCATTACGATAAACACTAAAATTTCATATATAACGCAACTACTTGGAAAGTTAACATCAATCAAAGAATAGATGCGGACACACACTAAAAAAAAAGAAAATGTAAGTAATGTGAGATAGAAAAGTCATTCATAGCCAACTATCAGAAAAATATATCAGTTTTATTTAGGAAAATATGTATTTGATGAGTTCATATGATTGACAATTGTCATTCATTTGCCCGCCATTGAACAGTTATATCAGAAAAGCATGATATCTTTTCCAAGAATTGTAATTACTAAAATTCTAAATAAGTTGAATAATAAACATTAATTCATCAGATACATCAGTCAATGTTTACCAATTTATCATTGCCACTTGAAAGTTTTCCAGTAAATATATTTATTCGATAGACACAGTAAATTCTGTGATAAATACTCTCCACCTTCTATCCGATAATTACTGTGCTCTAAAGTTAATGATAGTTTTCAACAACTTTCCTTTATATTTATTTGTGTCATTGACTAGGCGTTTAGGAATAGCTAGGAAAAAACAAATATTCTGTTAGTATTATTCGCTGAAATATAAACGATTATGAAGGTACGTTTTAACTATCTCATCTTTCATTGCTTTTTTATCTTGTTATTTGTTAATTTAGTGGATATATTTTCTTCTTTTTCTAATTGTTAGCACGTTTGCAGATTTAGATTCGGATGAATTTCAAAGTGAGTATATTATATCATAAATTGTTTTTCTTAATTCTATCGTTTTTTTTAAAGTTAAATCAAATGAAGCTTTACAATTTCTTTTTCGTGATCGGCGTAGTTTCCTTCATCCAGGCAAGACCAAATGTGAAGAGCAAAAACGTGAAGCTCGTAAAGCTTATGAAGAAAAATGTTCAATACTAGGTAAACGTTTTTGTCCAAGATTAAGTACATGGAGAGATTTTCAGCAATGGGAAATTGGTGGTGGTTATGAAAGTAAAAGAAATCCATTGCCAACACAACCACCAACTCCGCATATACAAACAATGCGTACATATCATACACGTCTTTACACACCAGCAACATTACCTACATATCACACACCTCTTTACACACCAGCAAGATTACGTAAATAAAAAACATCATTGTATGAATCGGTGACATGTAATCCTCTTGATAATTAAAATTTTTATAATTAATATTATGTAGTTAGCGATAATAATGAATATAAAAGATTTTTCTTCTTTCTGACTCAATAAATTTTTACTGCTCGACTGATAGAACTGTTTCTTAATAATAATATTATTTATGGATCTCGAAAAAATCTTTATTTAAATAAAAAACCATAGTATAATTTAAGACTATGATGTAGAGTATACAGCTATTAGTTTAACAATTAAAATTCAATCAAAAACAAAAGAATTTATAGATCGTTAAAATTGGGATTGATGAATGCCTTATGTTGAGATAAATTGATAACTGCCACTTTATTTGTGTCGCTAACATTTACATGAAAAATGATCAGGCGTTATCGTAAATAGGCACCAGTATATCATCGCCCTTAATTGAATTATTACTTTCCTGATAACGATAGAATAACTGTTTACTTTTATTATTGTTAATTTCAAGATCAATTTTGAAGCAAACAAACGTTAATGTGAAAGCTTTAAGAATTTCGATCAACTTTTTCAATTTCAGACAAATCAAGAACATGCTTAATCCATGGATTAGGTGAACTAAGAAAATATTAAATTATTGTCTAATCAGTATAAGTATCTTAATTATCAACGAACATCAATCACATTTTGAAATTTCGTTCAAACTGAAATATGTGGCATTAGTACAATCGAAAACAGCTTTATACAATAAATGACAAGTATCGTCAATTATAAGGTCATTTTCTGGATGACGACTAGTTTGTAAATTCTCGAGTTTCTGATCAACATCGACAAATTAAGTTGATTTATGGAACCATTATTTCTATAAAATGAGCAACATTGGAATATAAAATATCTTTATTAATCAATAAATATTTTATTTTCAGGCGTAATTGAAAGAATAAATAATAGCTGGCTTCGAATTATTAAATGGCATATAGATAGTACTTGTCTTTAATTAAATAAAATGATTCTTACAGGAATTTTTAGTAAACTATTGAATTTTTAATCGATTAATAACTGTCCATTAGATTTACATGCCAAAAGTTTTTCAATGTTGTTACTTTTATATGACATCAGCAATTGATTTAGATTTAATTGTTATTCTAGACAATAAACTAAGAATAATTTATTGATTAGGATTTATAATATAACTATTAACATGATCAAGTGAGTTTTCAATAGCGATATAATCTATAAGAAAAACAATAAAAATAGTTACTACATGAAATATAATTGTTGAGAATATTGCCCGATTTATATAAAGTATGTTCGACATTTGGAAAATTTCACGAAATATTTCGAAGAAGGTACATTGTATGAATCAGTTTTATGATGTTGATTGATTAACTACTTAATATAGAAACTATTTTTTCATGATTAAAGCATTGTTATGCTCCTCGAATACAATTAGAATTAATTAAAAAAATAGAAGTAATGATGTGCGATTGACAGAAGAACGTAATTTTCTTGAATTGAATCGAAAATACTACCAATTATTAATGAAACATCAATTACAAGCTTAATAGTAACGTCTAATATTTACTATAGAGCAAAATAAAATGGCAATGCGATCTAAAACGAAATTTGAAACCTATACTGACTTGCTCTGCCTCAAGGATTCAATGTAAATCTTAGCAAAAAGACGAGACATATATCATCAAAAGTGAAATTGTGAACTTACTAATTCAGCATAAAATATCCCTTCAATTATCTCAACAGACCTTTAAATAAGACGATTAACAACAGCAGCCAGTATCATGCGAAAATTTATCGGTAACTTCAAATCAGAAAATGAAAGAAGCTAATTTTTAATTTATTCTTTCCGATACTTCTCCAGTACACTTGATCACAGCTATTACTATGTATTTCTGACGAATAGATATTGATGAATGATGATAAACTACAACATTTGAATTAAAAATGAATAAAAAAGAATGTAATTAAACCGTTTTCGTTCTATTGTAACTCATATCATTCATATACAGGTATATCTATGAATGTACTGGTGAAACAAACAATTAAAGTATACATTCATTTCTATATTTTTTATGTCTTACCTGAGAAAAATTTGTACTAAAGATACATTTCTTTCTTTTTTCTACAGCGTTTACGAATATTGTGCAATTGAATATTTTTTATTAAAACATATAAATTATTGATATTGTTTATCGATCTAAAGAAAATCTTTTATGATATTATGTTGAATAGTAAAGCCACTAATGTTCGAATAATTTGAAAGTTTCATATTGAAACAACAGATGTCAATCATAAAATACAATATCATTGTTTTCCTATTGACATACAACTTTCATTACTTTCTATTCTCCTTTTCAGTACTAAGCAAACAAAATGACACACTAACAAAAAAATTTAAAAAAAAAACTTCTTTTTATTTTCAAGTCTTTGAAGACGATGAAGAAGAATTACTTTCTAAATGTTCTCGATGTAATTCTTCACATTTTGATTTTAATTTTGCGAATTCAAATTGAATTCTATCAGTTACTGCTTTACGTATTTCTTGCTACAAAAATAAAATAGATTCAATTAAACAATTGATTAATTTATTCATACCAATGATTGATTTTCTTTTTTCATTTTTTCGACAAGATCATCTAAGATAAGTGGTTCACCAACATAAATACTTACTTTTTGACCCATTTTAGGAACATAAGGTTCAACGTTAGGTAATACAGAATCCATTCCTAATCAATAAAACTAAAAATTGACGATCATTGTTCAATATGTTTCCTACCAAGATGATAGAACGGAACAACTAATGGACAAATCTTAGCTTCAGCAATAAGACGACCAACACCTAAAATTTTTTACTTTATTGTAATATTTATTTTAGTCTGAATTTACCCCATTTAAGTCTCATTAATTCTTTTGTTAAATTTACTTTTGCTAAAATATAAATTAAAAACGAAAACTAGTACATATATGAAAGACTCAAATACCCTCAGGAAAAATATGCACCCAATCACCTTGATTAATTTGTTCTAATGCAAAATCCATTGGTTGCTGATAAACTCCATCACCACGCTTTACTGGTATTGTTTTACCCAAACTGAAGAAACGTTGATGTCTTTTTACTGTAAAAACAATATCATCGGCACCTAATGACCAACGCATTTGTTGACGATTCCAAAAAACACGATATGGCATAAGACCTCCTACAATAACAAAACATATAGATTAATAATGAAAACAGCGAAAAAAATAATAAGAAATAATTCAATGAAGATGCTCAAGAGAAGGAAAACTACAGTTTATATACCGAACAACAACGGATCATCCAAACCTATTTATTAAATTTTATGATTAATAATCATATTTAAGAAAAAGATCTTACAAGAATGATGATTAGCCGTAGTAATTAATGGTCGTTTCGGATCTCGATGAAGGACAGCATTGCGAATAATATCACCTTTCAATAATAAAATTCTATGACAAATAACTACATAAGAATTCTTACCATTCTCAATTCGAACTGAAGTAATATATTCTATGAATAAAAATAAAATCTCTGTGTTTCCTGACTTGTTTTCGCATATGATGATTTCTTACTTACTCATCCAGAGTCTACTCAATGTTCCCACGAGTCCAATCGTCACTGTCGATAATGCTTTATAATATCTAGTAGGTTTTTCTGGAAATGGCCAGTTAAATAAGAGTGGCATGATCTATAAGAGTATCGTATATATTCTTCATTTTTATTATCATGACATAAACTTTCATATACATTTCAATTTTAAAGTCTATAGGTGTTAAGCTACCAACAACACCATCACCGATCACTACACTACGGCCAGTAAAAAATTACCACTCGTCAAAATGTAAACCAATGAGAAACCGATAAATTAAAAAAAACATCATCATGAAGGGCAAACTCATGGACATAGTACTCCATAGTAACACTGATGATTCTGTTACTAAATTGCAGTTGATGTTGTTGTTGAGTGACCCAGAAGAAATGGGCTAGTTCTGATAAGAAATTATTTTATGTATAATCTTAACAATTTTTCTGTATTGATAAGGAAAGGCTGTGGTAAAAATTTCTGCAAAACTGTTCAATGCTTCATTGTAAAAAAATTGTCAAATATGAAGATGCACTACAAAATATGAAAGAGCAAAGTCATCAACTTTCTAAATCACATTGTAGCATGCTTAAGATACCCAGGTCGGAAAAGCACGATCGTATACGATGAACGTATACGATGCCGTACGTTCAAATAGGATCAACGTATACGTTGAAGATAAACGACTGTCGTGTACAAATCAGAGATGTTCATCGCTGTTGAAAGTTCACCGCCACCGCATCACGATGAACTCTGACAACAAGCTACCGCACCGCTTTCGCGGCCATGTTCAAGAAATTTTGTTGACTTTGGATCTTATGATTTGTCCGAACAGAAATAACTCCTAGTAGTCGGTCAAATTTGTTGAGTCTTGCCACATAGTGGATATGAATACCGAGATTCCTTGAAAATTCGTGAGTTTTAAACATTTCTTCCTAAGAAATCGACCGCTACCGCGACGGTATTTAAAAAATCTCTCCGCGCCGCCACCGTCATGGATATCTCTTGTACAAGTGTAGTATACGACCCTATATGGTTGTAAATTAGTCGTAAATTCCCAGGTTAAAAACCTGACGTCAGATCATGATCATGCAAGATTCGAAAAGATCTTACCCTTGTAAGATTTTCCCTATGAGCTTGTCACAAGAGCATATGATTTCGTATGTGTTCACTTTTTTTAAGATTTCCTCAGATTCTGACCATAAGGTGTTAGCAAAAATCTTACAAGATTTAAAGATTAAGAAACGTATAAGTACAGGCTGAATGTTTCTCCTCATGTCTTATCAGATCATATAAGATCCATGTAAAAAGAAACATATGGCAGTGCATTATGTAGATCTTGTCTGTTCTTATCTGATGGTGTATAGTCTCTCCTGTTCTTTAACTTATTCGAGAATT